TCTGAATGATTGCACCCAGACAGTTTCTTTGGCAGCCTTAAAGAAGTGTTTTACTCAGCTATGTCTTAACCAAATGATAATGATAATTTAAAAAAAATTATTTGCTATACTTTTATCTGATTTTCTTTCTCATCTGGAACACATGAAAACATGCATGGTCTCCTATGTATGCACACTAACCATATCCAGGTTCATTTTACTTCAAAAATTAACTTTCAATTATATTCTGGGATTAAAGCTTGAGCTAAATTTCAAATAACTTTTATTTCCGTTTAATTCATATCTTATTAGTTAAAAGAATATTCTGAACCTCATACAAAATACATTTAAATTTGTACAGATGTCTTTATTATATTAGCTGCACTTCTTTTAAAAAAATAGACAAAAACTAGAGAAAAGTAGTGAATTGAGAAATATTTTAAACAAACCTTGTTTCCACTGTTCACTAGCAATAAATTCTAATTATAAGAATAAGACTTATAAATAAGTCTGTTTAGACTAAAAGGATATACTAAATAAACTTTGCGTACAGTAAATTTTTGAATAACTGGTGGATGAATATTACCAGAAGATAGCCACTTAATGTCTTTGTCCTGAAAAATCTTTTATCATATTTATTTCTTGATTCTCTTATGGCCTCTCAGAATTCTTAATTTCTGCATTCTGCCTTGAAAAGAAATGATATTGTCTGCCAAAATACAGCCAATTTTACCATCTGCATAAATAAATCAGAATATAATCTGTAATAACGACTTCTTTTAGGCTGGCACAAGGTTTTGTGTAGGTATTCATTTTGTACATGATACAGAATACATTCTACACTTGGAAAATGTATGTTTTCAATTTAAATATTAGTAGGAAGGTTAGAATCATATTGCTTGTGGGTTAGAATTATTCTCTTCTCTACTTACATTTAGGAATGGGGCAAACTGACATTTGATAAGACTTACAGGAATAATCTTGTCTAGTGATGATTATGAGGAGTCTTTGGTGCTTTCTGAGGTTGGTTGTTTTCTTGCAGATGTTTCATTACCCAAATTAGGTAACAACATCAGAGCTCTGATGGGCACCAAGGACCTTTCATTTCACCCCCAAGCTACAAATATTCTCCTTTATCAGTGATGATTATAGGATCAATCTGTACATAGCACTAAGGCAGAAGTGCTTATCAACAGCTGTCTCTCTTGCTGCTCTAAAACAGTCAGTCATGAGGGACGAGGCCCTGATATTTCTGTTATCCTGATAGTTCCTGTATTCATAAATTGAATCTATGGATTCAAAGGCCATTTCCAAAAGGAGAATTATTAGTCTTACTAATGATATTCTTTTTGAATAACTGTTAAGAGAGTGATTTTATGACGAATAATATATGACCAAATAAAGTTTAACCTGACAATAACTGTACCATCCTAAAAATAGTTCAATTTTATTACAAAATTTTGACCCAGAGTCTAGAAAAAATCATTTGGGAGAGTTGATAATCTATTTTCTCTCTTGCTTTTCATTTTGTCTCCTGTCCCATCAAGTTCCATCTTTTCTTTCTTTGTTGTTGCCCCTAAAACTGAAAGGTATGCCATTTACTCTACAAACCATCTTTTTCTTTGTTTTGTGTTTTGCGGGTAGTAGGTAATTCTGAGGTATAAGAGTGCCCCTCTGGGGACTTGTGGCTTCTGTACTAAACTCTGCTTTTTACTTAATTACTTGATTGAATTAGTTATTTATTGCTGATTGAGTTTAATGCTGTAAAATAGGCCAGACTAAGAAACAAATACCATGTGAGTCTAAATCTACTTTTATCAGAACAGGTATAGTAGTAGAATCTTGGACATTTAAATGTGATTTTCTTCTGCTGTTATCTTCATGAGAATTGGGAGGGGGGTGTTAGTGTATGAGGCATTTTTGTAAACCTTTCGTGGTATGGAGTAGTATATATCCAGGGGTGAAATGCTCCCAGTTTGGACCAGTTCGGAGAACTGGTAGTGATGGCAGCGTGAGGCTCTGCCCACCTATCATTACTTCCTGGTTTTAACCAGGAAGTAACCTGTTGTTTACCCTTTGCACATGCGCAGAAGGGTTTGTGCATGCACAGAGAGTCCAAGCACGCACGGATTGGTAATTCTGGTAAAGGGATTCCCGGGGTCCCAAAATAGCAATTCAAAAGCAGAAGTGTAACATGGACCATAAGTTAATCATTTTTGTCAAAAATGGCTGGAATGTGTTTATTTTCATGACTGCCAAATGGAAAGGACCTGCTCTCAATTTTCTGAACTTCAGAGATATATCTGTTACTTGAGACAGAACTCGTTTAAGAGTTGTTTCTCATCCTGACAAAGACTCAGGTGATTTTCCTTTAGTGTCTTCCTCTTGTGCACCATAAAGCTGTGGGATTCAAAACATCTCCATCCTAACGTACATTAGATATCTTGGTTCTATATCAAATATTAGTTCATGTGCTATAATTGTACCACTACTCTTTCATTAATTATCTATTTCTTAATCTATCTTGTTAAAGAGGACATTGAGTTTGTGCTTGGGCAAAGTTTCTTTAAGTTCAGGAAGCAGCAAACCCCCAACAACCTTTGTTTAAGCAATTTCCAACGAAATCTCTTTGATTGCTTCCAAACTCAATTTCATAAAGATTTTCAGGCATATGTACTGTATATTAACAAAGCGCCATGACATTATTTTCTATCCTAATTTAAATGCTGACCAGGAGTTTTAATATATTTCTACTGAAGTTCCTTCTTGGTTTTTGTTTGATATGAATGATTTCATGGTTCATTTTGATGGAAAAATAGGTACATAAAGATTTATATTATTGCACTCTACCAGAATGCTGACACTTATTTTCAAAGTTTTATAGTGTTTTATTTCTAAGAAACGTTTGGCAGCTGGCTGGAAGCCATTCCAGAGTGCTAATTTATTTCAGCATTAGACCATTTTCATGGAAAGAGTATTAAATTCATTCATAGTACTATCCAGAGTGGGACAATGAACATGTAATCTGCAGTTGTCATAGACTAAGCTACTATGAAAAGGAACATGAACAACTTATTTTGTGCAACGAAGGCCGCAAATGGCTTGGTCTTCCCCACGCAGTTTTGGAACAAGCTCTAGTGAAGCAAATAAGCTGACAAAGAGGCTCACACTCGACAGGCTTTGAAAGAAATGGGGATGCCAAGAGGAAGGGTTTATGTTTGACATTTTTTCCCTGAGGGTACAAGGGAAACTGTGTGCACTAAGAGCATAGAGCAGAAGGTCAAATTATACTACAGAAAAAGCACAGGAATGAGAAGCTGGGCATATGGTTCATTACCTCCAGAATACTGCCACTGTATATATCAAAAATTAAAGAGAGAAAAAGAGGACACTTAGTTTATAATGTGGAAAATATAATCAGGGGCCACAACAGTGCATATATGCCCACACCAAGTCTTAGATGCATTTTCATAGACCCATGAAACTATATATTTTTTTATTGTAACAACAAGGGAACATTGTTATATGCGAGTATTCATACTTAATTAAATTAACTTTAACTACATTTGTATTTAAATTAAATATTTGGCTTCCAGTTGTTGTTTGGAGGGTAACCTCTGACATGCACTCCAAGATCAACGGTGCGACAAAGTCACTGCATTTTTGTTAAAACACCATCAGATAAATATATAACACTTATAATACAAAATATGACCCAAGAGGGTTATTATTAACCACTTAAAATGTTCTATGCTATCACAGATTGCTCTGCATTTGTTTATTCATCTGGGGCACAGTAAGACATTTTGATGTTTATTGGTAACTCATAGGATGCTGGGTCCTGCTAGAATGGTGGGGCATGGTGTTTCCTCTAGACCGGGCCCACAACAAATATGTGAAGTATACAAAGACAGAGGTCATAACACAGGAGTTATTCTTACTAAGAAGCACATTTTCCCCATATATTCACAAGAGGTTCTGGCATCCTTGTGTAAATCTTGATTTAGCCACCTTAAGACAGTCAGGTTCATGGTTGATATTTTTGGACAGCCAGCAAAGTGACCATGAACATTGAAACAAGTTACCATTTTTAATATAAATTTAATTTTACTTATTTAACCATTTAATCTTTTCCAACTGCCATCAAAAAAATGTACACCTGTTATCAACAATTGAAAAGTCCAATTTTCTTACTTGCTTTTTGAACAAAAGCCAAAACCACATTTTGCTGACAAAGGGAAATGCAAAAGAAATGCTAATAAAAACACTATCCAAGCAGAATTTCCATAACCTAGAAAAATGAGTTTGATCACTGGAGGGCTCTAATATTGTTTCAACTGCCAAAAAAAATATCAAAACGTTGAAACAAAAATTATTTCAATGCATGTGCACAGAGCAATCAAACATGCAATATACAAAGCTCCATGGATGTACTGTACATATACTTTATAAAGGTCAAAAACTGTACACTAAATTTTCAGCAATAAGGAATGGTGATACCATGTTTCTTCCAATGCTAATAAACATCTAAATCATTGTTAAATTTTTTGCATGGCATCACAACATACTCAACTTTGCATAATAGAATTTAAAATAATTGCTTGGGAATTTTCAGTTCCCAGTCTAGTACCTTTGTCTCGAACTAAGCATCTCAATTCTCTCTTCTCGTTTAGCTGCCAGGATATTCTGGTGCTACTCTTCCATTTCTTTTCCTTGTTGGACCAGTTAATTTAAGATGTCCCACCAGACCTGCTCTTATTCTAAGAAACATACAAGTAATCCTTCCTTACTAATTACTTATTCAGTGACTTTTTCAAGTTGCTACCATGCTTGCTGAAAAAGGAGATTTATGATAAATCCTCAAGATTACGGCCACTGTACAGGTTCATGATTCGGCACTTTGTAGTCAGAGTTGTAACCTGGTTGTAACCATGGTTGCAATCTCCCATGGTCATGTGATCACCATTTACAACCTTCTCTGCTGGTTTCTCACATGCAAAGTAAATGGGGAAGCTAGTAGGAAGTTACAAGTCATGGTCACATCAAATCACACTTAATGACTCATGGTGATTTGCTTAACAACTACAGCTGGAACTGATGTAAATCGATGTGCTCATGTGATATTTCATTTAATGATCATGCCACTCAGTGAGAGAGTTGCCAGTCCAAACTGCAATGGGGAAGTGAACACTATCGGTATGTAGAAAGACATAATTTTTCAAATGTTTTCTCTGCCATCATCTCTTTACATCATTCTGTACTATGTAATTCTGAGCTCAGCATCCTGGATTAATGCCTTAAGAATTTTGCAGATTAAATGGTGAAGAAAATATTGGATACACCATCTTTGCTCACTAAACTGTTACTTTAACGGTGCAGAATAGAGAAGGGATAATATGGTGACCTATTTTCCATCTCTATTCTGCTGCTGTGTACTTTGGGATTGTCCACCTTGTTTACCCGTTATTGTTTCCAGTGGCTCTGGAAAATTCTGTACTTTTTGCTATATTTTATAGCTAATATTAATTCTTAGATATTATTCATGTTTTTCTCATTTGCCTGCTTTGGTTACATTTTTTTTTATGTTTGCTGATTTTAATAAATAAGCTGTAATTTTCTAACTGAATTGAAAATTTTACTGTATGTTCTTTTTCTGATGTGGACCTAGGGATTGGGAGCGTGCCGGGTGCAAACTAAACTGCATATTATTCCCCTCAGTAATTTTCCAACAAAAGGAATCCCTGTTTTGTGAGCCTTATTTATTCCTCCCTTTGCCAAGAGGTAGGCAAACAGGGAACTGTGACCTATGCTCTAATGGCAGATAGGGGAATGCAGAGTCTTAAAAAGAAAACTATAGGCTTTGAGTCTTCTGTGTGTTCTTATGTGTTTAAGGGCTACTATATTTACAATAAAACTGTGTATAGTTATTGAGAAGAGCATCAAAACTGCACTTAAAAGTTGCATAGCAGTGTGCATTACTCATCACCAGGAATGTCCCATGCAACACTGAACAGATGCCTCTGGCAGTCACACAATAAAAGTACACTCTCCTATTTAGGAAAGGAGTTGAACTTTTAAGAAACATTTTGAAGCCCCTGGAAAAACTGAAAACTAAGTGCATCCATAATAAAAATAAGATAACAAGACATATACAACTTAGTTATATTGAGTTTATATGAATTTTCAACTGTTTTGTTTTTATTTATTTAATTCCAAATGAGGTTCTTACTGTGCAAAATAATAGAAAAATTGGATTAGAACCATTTCATAATCAGTTAAACAAAGAGGCATTATTAGAAATGCTGAAAAGGATAGCTGGTGCTGCCCTGTTAATCTAAGCAAGTTAAGTCTTTAGGGTTTTAAAATTATAACTGTTGTTTTAATGTAGTGCATCAGGCTGTTACACACAGCACCATGGCTTCTTGGTTTCTTGCCTGAACAAATAATTCTTTCAGCTGCTTGGAAAATACCTCCCTTTTCTTCACTTGGTGGAAAAAGAAGGTATAAAAAACCACACTGCACGCTGTTCTTTTGAGCTCTTCATACAGGACATGTTAATGACATTTGAGTGGGAGGGTTGATATTTTAGCATAGTGATATATTAATGAATTCTTCACATATCTCTATCCACAACAGTTTGTGACACCCTTCCTCTTCATACCCACAAAACTACCAATATACCCTCCATATTTTTTTGACATTGCAGAATTGCCATGCACCCTCCTTCTTTCTCCATGTACCCTCCCCTAATTTTTCTCCTCCCGGTGCTCCCGCACAATTTTGCTGTAAGCAGCCAGCACTAAACAGCACCAAATGGACTGGCACTGTCTTGTTTCCTGGCCTAATGGATGCTTGTTTAAACAGTGAGGCTGTTTGCATTGCTGCAGCTCACTGCATGTTAAACACAATCCTCTGAAATCCTACACCAATACAATAAAGGTATCAGCAGTACAGCATGGGGAGGCAATTACTATAAGGTCCCAAGTGAGCCTTCTAAGCTGTAGGAAGGAAAATTTGATCGAACAACTAAAAGGAAAATCTGATTCAGCTCAGCATCACGTGGAAGACGCAAGGCTTAACTGCAGCCAGGTCTGTGGAGGGCAGGAAGAAATCAATGGAAGAGCTAGTGAGAGCAAATGTACATTGTTAAGAGGAGCTTTAAGCATTGCCTGTTAGCAAAGCTGTGTGTTGCAAAGACCAACAAAGGCTCCCCTTTCCTCCTTCTCCTTGTCCTGGAGGCTTTTATTTTAAAAAAAAATGCAGCCGGCTACGCTTTCAATCCCCATCTTTTACCAATTTCTGAAATACTTCTCCACTGACAAAAGGTCCTTTTCTCCCATAAAAAAGCAGTTGCATATCAGGGGGATGAGGTAAACATCTGAGCAGCAAAATTGCTATGTTTTTTATTTTATTTTCAAGAACACCCATCAGAGAGGTCTATCTTTCAAAGCTAGGGTTGGGAAGAGATATCCAGCTTTCACCCTAACGACAGTCAATTTGAAAGCATTAGAAATTCCATATCCATATGATTTTTTAAAAAAACCTAAAATGTTGTTGAAAAAAAGCCCTACTTTCTCTAGCTTAAAACAGATAATCAAAAACAACAGGAATTACTGCTTCTAATATTTTAAAAGGTAAATCTTGTAGAAAAGACAGATTTTATAATTAAGCGGACTGTTTCCCTGAATACATGCCACAACTACATTAACTAAGAAGCTTTGCTGCACAGGACTGAACTAATAGTAATAGCTTGGCTTTCAGCCTTTGGCAAAACTTACAGTCAATAATGAAAGGGCAAAGCCAATAGTTACTTGCCTATCTGGGGTACACTTCAGACTTCTACTTCATGAAAAACAAGAAAGGGGCAATATGAGAAGATCAACATGGAACAAAGCATCCAGATGCCTAATATAGATGACCAAGTCATTATAGAGTCATCCACTACATATTTTCCTGCCTTTACTATCCAAATAACTATAGAAAATCCACAAAATGGACTCATGGGAACTAGTTGTCTCCAGTGTTTGCTTCCAGCTCCTGGAATTCAGTGACATTTAACCACTGGTGCAAATAGCTTTTGATAGTTCAGTCTTTCAGGAACATATCGGTTGCACAGGTAAGCCTAAACTAACAACAATAATTAAATAAAGCAAAATAAAGGAAAAGAGCTATAGAAGAAACCAGGAATGCTCAATTGGGCTGGGGCTGTGCCACACAGGAATGTGGCTCCATGTGATAAATTCAGTTTCCTATCCTATAACATAAAGCTATGATATATGGACTAGATAAGTGTAAGTCAAATGGATTTGAAGAATCACAGTCATTTGAAATTATATGTGGCACAGAATACTTTTTCACCTAATTTTGTAAGTATGCAGTTTTTGTGCAAAACTGACTTGGTTCAATTAGCTCCTTTCCTTGGAGAATCTTCTCACTTTATGAAAAAAATATGTATATGTAAGGAAATATATATTTCTGACAGGTAGTAGCTTTCTGATCTGCATTCACTGCAGGTATGAGCATGCATATTTAACTGTCAGGGTTATGTATGCAAATTCATTCCAAAAGAATCTGAAAGACTGAAATAATATTTCTCTAGTGTGTTCACATAAAGAGTTTTTAAACTTTATTTTAATTTTGCTCCGTTCCCTGTGAAACTGCACATATCTTTAAGCATGGAGTTGAACATGTGTAGGCCTCCAAGCAACTATGTCTCCTCAGAACAAACACCTGGTCTTCAATGATGCAACAAGTACAACGCAAATGAATGGGGTTTTCTCAACATTTTTCTTCTTTCTGTTTTGCAACAAACCTCAAAATATATATTTTGAATATTTGTAAATGAAATTCAACAATACATAGAGACTATCAGTTTTATAGTGCAGCAGTTCCTGAAATAGTAGTTTGGTTAGACCTTCAGATATTTTTGTACTGCGGAAGTGATCGTTATTTTGAGGAGGAGAAGCTTTAAGGAGGCTTTACAAGATTTCTATCATGGTTCCATTAATTTATAAAGACTGCTTATTTTCTGGGTTTAATCATCAATAGTGTCTTAATTCCTGTTGTCAGTTTCTATGCTACTTTAAATTTCAAGGGAAAGCTTGGATTACTTATCTCTCCTCTTAATTTAAACATAGTAAGTAAAAATTAAAAGTCTCCTCCTCTAACAAAACAAAGAAGGGAGGGACCCATTTTACTACTAGTGACTTATAACATCTTTACATCATTAATCAGCAACTGCTGAAATGATATAAAGCCTCTCAGCAGTTCTATTTTAGCACAACAATGGTTGGCTAATTCTAGAAGAAGTTATAAGTTGTTACCAAAGAAATGGAATAATTAAAGTAGATTATTCATGGGCAACCAAAAAGCTATTTATAAGTAATTGTCCCAGATGAAATCATCAAAAAGAAAAAAATAGCTTAAATACTGAACAGCAAACTTTTATTTAACATTAAAAAGGATCTTTGCAGAATAGAGCTTGTAAATAAACATCACAGATCTTAGGGATATTAGGTATTTTGTGGAGTTTTTAAATTTCCCTTACACTGATTACAAAAAAGCATTATCAGAGTGATGATAAAACACAGCCCTATAAGAAACTATATTTTATAATCTTATTGACTATTACTTTACCTTTTTTTTTCCTAAACCAAACCTTTTAAGATGTAAGTTTCATAGCTTCCTTTGGCATCTCCATCTGGTATCTGTTCAGATTCACGGAACTTCCAAATCTATACACCAAGTATTGAACTCTGGCAGTTTCTGCCTGCAAAGATTGCTCTGTGAAATCTTTTAAAATCAATATTTTTCCTTATCTTTATGTATACATTTTTCCTTCAACATGAGCACACATATTACAAATTCTCTCTCACATACATGCAAACACACAAACACTCACACAAAGCCTGCAATGTGGCTCAGAATCTACAAAATAGATCAAGTATGTTCTAGACAGACTTTAAAAAAAAATTGTAGTAGACAGCTATGCTGTCATTCACTGTTCAGTGGTCCCACCACAACAGCCCATCTCTGCTAAATATTTACATAATCCAATTCAGCCATTCGAACTTCAGGTGTTATAATCATATTATAATAGGTTGCTCTTGACATTCAGTATACTGTTTTCCTTCCTGAGGTCAGCCTGAGATTTTGTTTGTAAATAAGCAGTTTTGACACGGATTGTAGAAGTAAGC